TATGTCAGTAGACATTAAGGTAATCAACCTTGAATGATACAGCTGACAAAGATTGAGAGTTGTCCATAATTAGGCAGATAAATGACTAACTATTACAATGTTTTTAGCTGACTCAAAGATTTGACGTCAATACATTTACCTTCAGGCTAAACAGTGTCTAATATCACAAATCTGCATTTCCACCAAAAGTATACAGTGGTAATTTTTTTTTTAAAGGGACAATGGAACTACAAGGCTATTGAATTAAAAGAATAGGTAAAATTGTTGGACCACTTTACCAAAGGTCCAACACAGGCATGACGGGCTGAATGATCTCCTGTGCTTATCATTCCAGAACTCCAATCATTGCTCCCTAGAAAAAGAATGGCTGTCATATACAACACAAAACTCAGATGGAACTCAGCAGGATTTGCCTCACAAAGCACATATTAAGTTCACCAAGTAATAGGCAAATGGAGTGTTAGCTTTTATTTGAAAGGGAATGAATATATAATGGTCAGGACGTTTTGCTGAATCTATACAGGGAACTAGCCAGACCTCAGCTGGAATACAGGTCTGGGGCCCTTAACTAAGCAAAGATGTACTGGCATTGGAGACAGTCCAAAGATGGTTTACTAGGTAGATATTGGGTATGTAGGGACTGCCTTATGAGGAGAGATTGAGATGATTTGGCTGTACTCATTGAAGTTTAGAAGAATGTAAGGTAACTGTATTGAAACATATAAAATTTTTAGGGGACTTGATAGGGTAAGTGTTGAGAGGTTGTTTGCCCTGGTCAGAGCATCTAAGAACAGGGTACATTATCTCAGAATAAAGGTCACACATTTAATCTAGAGATGAGGATGACTTTTATCTCTCCAAAGGTACTGAATCTGTGGCATGTTTTACTACAGAGGGCTATCAAAGTGGGGTCGTTAAGTATATTGAAGGCTAGGGCGGACAGACTTTTGATCAGTAAGGGAACCAAGAGTTAGAGGGAAAAGGTAGAAAAGTGAAATTGAGGATTATTAGATCAGCCATGATCTTGTTGAATGGCGGAGCAGGCTTGATGGGCTGAATGGTCAATTTCTGCTCCCACATCGTACGGTCTTAGCTCAGAGACTTGCACTCTTGACCATTTTCATAATTTATCAGAAGCAACTTGTGAGTCACACTGGTAGGAGAAGAGATGTGTTGGCAAAGGAAGTGCTAGTGGCTACTCAGCGGAGCTGTAGTTGTTACTTTATGACTCTCGTCTTACAATACCAGCTTTTATAAGGAAGGTACTCAGCACCAACTTTAAAATTAATCAGGAATTTGCCTCCTTGCAGCACATGATTTAGATTGATTATGATTAAGCAACATGAAGCAGTCAGCGTTGTTTCTTCTGCAAACTGTCATTGAGCATCATGCAACTTAGCAGCATCTGCAGGAACAAAATCAGGCAGGCAGATAGGTGGGGAGCTCAATGTTATATCGCTGTTGGATGCTTATTGCTGCTTGATAAACCAACCCCCAGTTGTGAATACAGATACCATTATTCCAAGAAAGGCTGAGTCTTTTCTCCTGCTGTTTTGTTCTCATCATCAAATTTTGGTAATATTTCAGTTTGCCACCCACCTATGTTGAAAATTGCTCGATGAAAAAGCAAACATTGCAATTGCTTGATAGGTATCCGACTGCATGTGCATTCAGGATGTGTTTGTTGGTGACACCTGAAATCTTCTTATCCTAGAATCCCATCTATCACTCCCCAATGAATGTCTTGTTTTCTATATTCCGTTTTGTAAAATGTCTTGGGTTATCTTTTTGCAATAAAGGTAACAAACATTGAAACATTGAAAATAGGAGTAGGCCATTCAGCCCTTCTGGCCTGTTCTGCCATTCAATATGATCATGGTTGATCATCCAACTCAGTATCCTGTTCCTGCATTCTCCCCTTACATTTTGATTCCTTTAGCCCAAAGACCAAACTGGGGGTTTTGCTATAGCGCATGTTCCTGCAACACAAATTGGCTATAACGTGACTGACGAATTGGGGAACACTATTTCTGAAACGTGAACTTGTGTTGGCTATAATGTGATTCCATTGGTGCGCAGAGGAGTTTGCACCATCCTCCCAACACTGGTGAGCTTTATGAAAACATCAAAGTGCTACTTCTACCCCAAACTCTCTCCTTCAACCCATGGACCAGGGTGCAAAAGCAGCTTTTAAAGCTTATTATTTAAGGTGCACATTTAAGAGGCTGATTCCACGCACTGAGAGGAATAAGGACAGTGTTCTTCAATTTTGGAAGAGCTTTAACATCAAGGATGCAATTGGCATTATCGCAAAGGCCTGGGGTGGTGTCAGTAAGGACTGCCTGCATGCAGTTTGGTGGAAGCTTTTCCCAGATATTTTTCAAGATTTTAAAACCTTTGATCCATCACAGGAGCTCCAAAGAATGAAAAAAAAACATTGTGTTGATCTTACAAAGCAGGTTGGATGCTAAGAAATGGAGAGTGAGGATGTTGAAAAGCTGCTTAAGTCCCACTGAGAAGACGTCTCCACAGCTGATCTACAACAACTGGTGCTGAGGGGAAAGTGGAAGCTGGAGATGAAGGTAAAGTCCAGGATGCAGCAACAGGAGAGCTTTCCACCTTTATTTTGTCTTCTACCTCAGGCAGATTGAGATGCAGTTGCAGCTCTTACAGGACAACGTTTACAATGCAGAATGCAACAGGGTAGCAGTTTGTGGAATAAAATCTTATATAATATATAAATATTATATATTTGTCTATGAACAGCTTCTTTATGAAAGAAGAAAAAGGGCAAAGCAGCAAAAACTGGATGTCTTTTTTTAAGCCAACCCCCAACACACAGTCAGAACACAATGAACCACAGCCATCCACTTCTGGGTTAACTATTTTTCCCCCTAATCCTGAAACCACAACTGCACCTTAAGGTGATGATGATGACGATGATGATGACCTTCAGCCACTGCATTAACAACAGAGCAATCTCAAAACCTCCTCCCCTATCAAGTCATCTTGACATTTTTTCAAGATAAGGTGTTAAATTTACTTTTATTTCATTATTCGATATGAATTAAACATTTAATCAAACCATGCTATCCTTTGTGTTAGGTTTAGAGTGATTTTTAGTGATATTTTTTGGTGGTCTGCCCCTAACCCCGCTTTTCCCATAGGCCCCATTATTTCTATAGTGCAATTTTCTATTATGTGATGTTGTGCAGGAACGCTACTATTGCGTTGGAGTAAAAGGCCCTGTATATGTAACTGCTTCTTGAAAACATTAAATGTGGCAGAAAATTCCTCAGGCTCACCGCTCTCTGGATGAAGAAATGTTTCCTCATCATTGGCCTAAATGGCCCATGTGGTATTCTTAGACTGTGAACTCTGGTTTTACACTTCCCAATCAACAGGAACATCCTTCCTACATTTATCCTGTCTAGATTTGTTAAAGTTTTATAGGTTTCTATTAGCTCACTCCTCATTCTTCTGAACTGCAGTGCATATAATCCGAATTAATTTAACCTGTCCTCATATGTCAGTCCTACCATCCCAGAAATCAGTCTGGTAAACCATTGTGATAAAAATATTCAAGGTGTTTTTTTTATGTGTATTAATGTCAAATCGTTCATTTTTTGGAATAATTTCAAATTCCATTTGGATCCTGGTTGAAACCGCCTATCAGTTGTCAGCCTGTTGTTAGATATTTTACATAACTTAACTGTAAATATCTTTCTTCAGTTGCTGTCCCAACCCTTTTCTGTGAAAGCTTCAATCATAGAATTGAATTTTCCTGACACTTTGCATTTCCTTTTCCATTTTATGACAACCCAGCAAGTGATGGCATTTTATTGTCAAGCTGCATCCACGTCAGAAGTCACACAAAATCAGGTTATAGCCCAACAGATTTATTTGGAATTGCATGTATGATTTCAAAAACTTTGCTGGACTATAGCCTGGTGTTGTGTGACTTCTGACTTTGTCCACCCCAGTCCAACACCGGCACCTCCACAAACTGGATCCAAGCCACAGAAAGCAAGATAGCTTTCTTTATGGTCAGAGTTTAGCAACTACTCGGTCTTACAGCTCTTCTCACCTACCAGTCCCCAACTGTTCCCCCTCTACATCAACCCTGCCAATTAATTAATTAAATAACCCCAATCATCATTTTAACTTCATATTATATTAGAAGTATGAATGTACATTCAAAATTGAATTGCACTTTCTGAAACTGGCCCACTTATACACTTCTTCTGGGATTTGGATAGAATGTCAGTATCTCTGCTGGCTAAATGCATCAAGAACTCCTTCCCCCTGCCCTGGGTCCTGTAGTTTATAGCTGGTCACACGTATCCAGATTTGTCTCCATGTTCATTTCGAGATGATTGAATGGCTGAGCAAGTTCGAGAATCTGATTTGAGAGATTTCTGCTTCTACATCTGTGATTTTATAATGTTAAGAAAGAATTTTTACAAATCAGCCCTCACATTGATGGCGTTGATGTGGTTTGATGCTGAATTCCGCCCTGACTCTCACTTGTCCAGAACACACTCCCAATTAAAATCCTGCCCACAGATTCGGAAAGAGTGCTGATTTATTCAAAACAATTTCAACATAAATGCAAGTTCCTTTTAGATGTTTAAGCGACAAAGCTGTAAGAAGTGCCGTACTATTCTTTGAATTATTAGGTATTCTGATAAAAATTTGCTTTTGAGGTGAATTAACATAAATCAGTTATGTTTTATGACTGCAGGCTCTTGCAGTAAAGCTGATAAAGATTCTGATTTAATGTTCACCAACCTTCATTATAAGACACATCTCATCATGTGTTGGCTGATGCAATGACTATCGTTCAATTAACTTTTAATAAGATTGTCCCCAGGACTGCTCATTTAAATCTTTGTAGCATTGAACTACAAAGCAACAGTGCTCCTCATTTCAGTTTGGCTTACCCAAACAATAACTGTATTTGACAAGTGCACTTTTGAAACAGAGTCCTTTGTACTTACTGTACGAACAGCCGTAAACTTCAACTCTCATTCCTATTCTGCCATGTGGATTCCACTCAAGAGGGACAAAACGAAGCAGTCTTGCTTTAATGGAGTACTGTAACTTGTGTCGCACAACACCATCTGCATTGGCATTCCCTGTGAAAGCCTACAGAAGAAAAAGATAGATAAAAATTTAGGCAAGGAAGCAATAATTTCCTGCTACTGATTTGAGTGCAGCAAGGTCAGAATGAAACTAAATATTTGAAAGGAACTTGAAGTCTCCTTCTAAAGGGTGTCCAAAGAGAGCTGCATCAATCAGGTCCTGTCAATTAGATAACAGAAGCACCATCAACCAAGTTCTCTACGTGCTCGTATGTCTTAGTTATTTGTTGGTCCTTTGTGTATTAGTAAACAGCAATCGGGGAAATCACGATTTGAAATTGCATTGAACATTGAAAATGATTGTGGTTGCTCCAACCACTCAACTTAGCCCAGGACATCACAGCAGGATTTCCTCATGTTAACGCCCAACATCTTCATCTGTTCCAAGAATGACCTTCCTTTCCTCATTACATCAAAAATGGGGACGTTCAATATTGATCGAAAAATTTTCAGTACCATTCACAACTCCTCAGACAAATGAAGATACATGTCCTCAAATAACAACATCTGAACAACTAAGAGACTTGGCTTATAAGCAGTAAGCGTCATTTGCACCACATATATGCCAGGCTATACCATCCCTACCAATGAGAAATTAACTAGCTCCACTTGACATTCAACAGTGAGTGTCATTGAATTCCTCATATTCTGTGGTCATCATTGAACAGAAACCTAACTGGACCAGCCAAATAAATACTAGAGCTAAAGTAGCAAATCAGAAGCCGAAAACTCTGAGGCAAGTAACTCACTTCTTGACTCCCTAACCTCTGTCCACCATCTACTAGGTACAAGTCAAATATTGATGGAATACTCATCACTTGGCATTCAAGAAGCTCAACATCAATATGCCAGGATAAAGCATTCCACTTACTTGACACCCCATTTACCACCTTAGGCATTTGTAAATTCTGCAATTCCCTACCTAACAAAAATCAAAGTGTACCTCTGCTACACAGATGGCTGCAGTTGATGATGTTGACTCACCATCAGGTTTTTAAGGACAGTAAGGGATCAGAAATAAGTGTTGTTCTTGCCAAAGATGCCTACAACTCACGAAAGAACGGAAAAGGAAAGTTTTGTATGCTTGGATTATTAGACAGAGCTATTCTTAGGATTGATGCCTCAATGAAGGGCAAAACTTAGTTTCACACATAACATTCTATGACAATCAACAGTTTGAGATACTTGCAAATTAATTTAAAGTTGGATTTAAACTTCATGTTTGGCCCTCAAAGCTCACTGGCACACATATATGTGGTCCACTAAGGCAAAATAGATCAGTCATAGATTATTGGCTAGGAATAAATGATGATACAAAAGTAATTGCTTCAAAATTGATGCTTTTCTTCATCATTTTCCAATTTTGCTTTTGAAAGCAAGTATGAACCACTGTTGACATTTTGTTCTTCATTTATTATCTGTGCAATTTTCAGTAATCATGTTATTTTACAGGACAGACTACCCAAGATCAGTTTGCAACATAAGAATAACTAACAAATCACTCCAGGATTTGCAGATTTGGTGGAGCTGAGGTTGAATCCTGGTCAGTGTTGAATTTGTTGATTTCGGTAATGGACAACTTGCAGTTGACTTCAATACCATCTCTTTGGGGAGGGAGAATAGTTAGAGAGGGGGATGGTGTAGTTGTGATGAAAGTGTATTATGCCAGCAGCATAAATTGGGTTTGAGGCAGATCAGCAATCAATTCTCCACAGCAGTTTTATGCTTGTTATTTTCCATTGCCTTGGGAAAATATTGCAAGATTTTCAAATTCAAATCAAAGCCCAGAGCCTCCAAATGAAAATGGAACTGTTCTGACTGATACAATCACGGAGAAAACACTCACTTAGAACATAGAACATAGAACATTACAGTGCAGTACAGGCCCTTCGGCCCTCGATGTTGCGCCGACCTGTGAAACCAATCTGAAGCCCATCTAACCTAAACTATTCCATTATCATCCATATGTTTATCCAATGACCATTTAAATGCCCTTAAAGTGGGTGAGTCTACTATTTTTGCAGGCAGGGCATTCCACGCCCTTACTACTCTCTGAGTAAAGAACCTACCTCTGACATCTGTCCTACATCCATCACCCCTCAATTTAAAGCTATGTCCCCTCGTGCTAGCCATCACCATCCGAGGAAAAAGGCTCCCACTGTCCACCCTATCTAATCCTCTGATCATCTCATATTCACTCATGTATTTTATAGCTAGTCTGGCCAATCCCTAGACCCTTTGACTCAGTTAGTTGACACGACCTCAATGCAATATTGGAGCAGCGAGGCCATACATCCCCATCACTCTGAAAGAGAGCTTACAAAGTTAATGGTAGTGCCCTGGGGAGTGTTGTTGAACAGATAAGCCTATGGGTGCAGTTACATAGTTCCTTGAAATTGGTATCACAGGTAGACAGGGTGGTGAAGAAGGCTTTTGACATGCTTACCTTTATTGGTCAGAGCATTGAGTATATGAGTTAGGACATCATATTATGGCTGTACAGGACATTGGTGATGTCACTTTTCGAGTATTGCATACAGTACTGGTTGCCCTGCTTTATGAAGGATATTATTAAATGGGGAAGGGTGTGGAATAATTCCACAGAGGCCAGTATCCAGTCACCAAGTCACCCTTTACTTATACATGAAGAGTCCATGACCCTGATCCAGCTCCCTCAGAGCCAGCTCTCAGAGTGAGCAGGATATCTGACACTCCTGTTCTTATCTGTAAGCCAGGGCTCCCTGGTTGGACCAGATTAACAGTAGCTATCAGGGAACTCATATTCTTTGATGTCCACCTGGTTGAGCTCTTTATAATCACTACAGGGTGCAGAAAAGGATGTTACAAGGGAATGGAGAGTTTGAGTTGTAAGGAGAGGCTGGATAGGTTGGGGACTCTTTTCACTGAAGTGTTGGATCTTGAGGGGTGACCTTATAAAGGTTTAAGGTGAGTGGGGAAAGATTTAAAAGGGAACCTGAGGGGCAACTTTTTCACACAGAGGACAGTACATATGTGGAATGAACTGCCAGAGGCAGTGGTAGATGTAGGTACAATTCCAGCATTTAAAAGACATTTGAACAGGTACTTGAAAAGGAAAGGTCTGGAGGGAACATCAGCTAAACGCAGGCAAATGGAACTAGTTTAGCTAAATAGTTAGTTATGGAAAGCTGGTCGGCTTGGATTTGTACCAAAGGGTCTGTTTCCGTGCTGTACATCTATAACTCTATGACCTAGGAATGTCCCTTAAGTGCAGAAGTTAGCTTGGGGTTTAAACTGCAAGTTTAGTTAATTAAAACATTTTGTAGCTTTTTTAAGGTCTAACATCATTTTAATTCTTTTTAAATAAAATCATTTCAAGTTTTATTCGCTAACTGTAAATGTAATAAGTTTTTTATTTCTTTTATCCATTTAATGGCACTTCTATTTAATCATTCTAAGCACAATTTAGTTTAATGGTATCTAATGGTTGTTAGTGAATGTGTGTGGGTGAGGGAGGTAAGTGGATAGGGTGCCAGAATGTTAAGGAGGAAGGTTGGTAGGGTAGCAAAGAGACAGGTGGGTGAATGGTTAGCATGGCAAGTAGTTAGGTAATTGGGGCTGAAGATGTGCCAGGCAAATGAGGAGTAAGGCGGGTTGTATAGGAGCTGGCTTGGGTCGGCAGTACTGTTGGATGGGTATATCTAGTCAGCGGGGTTATGGGGGCACATGCAGGAGCTGGGGGAATCTGGTTGGGTAAGAAGTTGCCTTGGGTCAGGAGGCATGGGGTATGTGTGGATAGTCGGGATCTGGTCAGGATGGCAAGAGAGGAGGGTGGTGTCATGGGTTGAATGTCTTGGGGGCAGAATCAGCCTGGTCACTGTTAAGTTCCCAGACAGGGGTATGCAGTTGATTGTTACATTCATAGCAGGTTTTCATTCTTTTAACTTTTCCTGGTTAACTCTCCAGGTGATTGCACCAGAGTCCTCTGAAATCTCCAAGTCTAACTTAGAGTTGGAGACTTTTTCAGAGGGTTTGTGACACCGCATAATTGCCCATTATAAGTTTAAACTTCCCGGTAATTTCCATGTAGTCAGATGGTTCAGGACATCTACATGCACCTGATGCGTAACTCCAGTCTCTACTGCTACACCAACTATTTTCCTACCAAAAGACCTTAGCACAAATAAAAGTGACTGCAAGATGAGAAAAGCAGTCTCCAACAGAAGTTCAAACTATCTTTCTGCAAACTTTTGTTTAAATGGGTTCGGGAGTGGTGATAATCCACTGACATAGACCAAGTTCACGCCTAAGATTTCTTATACCAGGCTTTGGTTCACACTTTAGTGCCTCAGGATTCAGGATGGAGTAATTTAATGAAGATTCTTGTTGCTGATCAGAATTTGATTTCATCCTGCTGTAAATCATATGGCTGGAAATCAAGCGAGAATCATACCAACTCAACTGTGATAGCCTCTGTTGTATTACTGTATAGATTGCACAGATGCAGGCAGTGCACCATTAAGATAGTTAGATAATATCATATGTCATGTTCCAGTATAAAGATCCTTTCCTTTGCCTTCATAGTGCAATGCTAAAGAATCAGTGCTGTGTGTAATAAGTCAGTCATGCAATGTAACTGTTTGATGAATGAGTATAAACCCTATACTACATGTAAGTCTGAGATCTTAAAACAGTGAAAATAGATAGTACTGTTATTAAACTTTTAGCTATCTGACTTGACAAGAACCCAGTCTTACTGGTATATGTTACACGGGTAATCAATACTGAAGCAATCAAGCCTGATCACATTGGCAGTGTTCAACCAAAGAAATCACATCAGACTTCAACATGAAAGAGAGAAAGATGACTTGGTCATTCAATCATTTCATCTCTGGGTGAAAAGTCATCTCGACCTTAAGCTTTATAACTGTTTCTCTCCACAGATGTTGACTGATCTGCTACATATTTCCAGTCTTTTTCATTCTGTTTCAGATTTCCAGCATATTTTGCATCTGTGTTAAGCAG